AAACAATGGACAGCGAGTCCAGAGATGAGCACTGCATACCGGGACAACTGGCAGTTGATATTCTTGAGTTTGTGTCCCTCATCGACCACAACATACATCCACTTATGTTTCTTCATAACACCGATGCATCGCTTGAACACCTCATACGACGTGATGACCACTGGATAGCACTTCCGTCTCTTCATAGGCAAACCGAAGTGAATGTTCGCCGCTTTGGCGATCTGAGGGTACAGTAGTTTTCTCTCCTTTTGGTTTCCGTGCAAAACAAACGCCGGAACTAATGGCGCAAAACGGGTGAACTCGAGCTTCCAGTTGTGAAGTGTGGTCAACGGCGCGATCACGAGGAATGGGCCCACAAAGGGGTCCTTATGGTTGGACTCAATAATATGTGAGATAATAGCAATGGCTTGAATGGTCTTCCCCAGACCCATCTCATCGGCCAGAATGCCATTCGTGTTGTTCGCTATCAGGAGTCGCATCCATTCCAGTCCTTCCAACTGATAGTCTCGCATAACTGTGCCTTCAATTCAATAATCAAGTCATATATGAGTTATAACACCACTTGAGAAGTTGTAAACCAGTTGTAAATTGAATGGCAATCAAACTTATGAATACCTGACACCAGATATGGTTGTCTGGAATCGACTGCAACGCCTTTATTCTCATACGAAGAACTACTGGATCTCGTGTCAGACGTGTCTGCGTCCGACTCTATATCATTGCTGTCATCATTGAGTCTTATCTTACAAACTCCTTGAAGTCTGAGAGACTTTCGCGGAGTCGCTTCATCCGTACCATTCGTTTGTGTCAATGAATTGATTGGATTCAGAGGTCCAGCAGAAGAACTGTCGCTCTCTTCACACGAAAGCAAAACAAATAAAACATAAAAATTAAACAAATATTTAGACAAAAAGCAAACTTTTATGATAAGAGATATAATACTGAGATTGTGGTGATTAAAGCCAATTGGCTGAGGGCTAGGAGTGGTGTCTTGGCATTGGATCAGCTCTTGTCGCTGTTGTCTCAGATTATTCTCCATAACAACGGAAAAGTGTTTGCTTTTGTTCAACAGATCCATGAAATCGTTGAACCGCTTATCGATGGTCTGCTGTGTCGGCGACTGTGTGTC